TGGTCCTCATGGCACCAAATTGGTAGGTCCCAAAAGGACTTGTATAACCTCACCATCAGGACCCAAGATCAAGGTGCCCAGGGATCTGCCTGTCTGCTGCTGCCACTCTGAAAACACACAGAGGCTGCGTCTGAAATAATAATAATATTATAATATGCCATTTAGCAGACGCTGTTATCCAAAGCGACTTACAGTCATGCGTGCATTCATTTTTTTTGTGTATGGGTGGTCCCGGGGATCGAACATACTACCCTGGCGTTACAAGCGCCGTGCTCTACCAGCTGAGCTGAAATGGCACCCTATTCAATACTTTTGACCAGAATATGGTGCCAATGGGCCCTGGTCAAAAGTAGTGCACCATATAGGGAATAGGGTGCCTTTTGGAACACACTCAAACGTTGGTTTACCTAACTGAGCATCTAGAATGGCCTTATCAACATACCAGAGATCTACTGAACACAGAGTCCTGTGATATGGGCATCTTACCCCTGAGCTCCAGGGGTAGGCTGCCTCTGACCATGGCCCTCCCAGGATCGGAGGGGTCCCAGGGGGCATGGACGTCAGATCTGTCTTTGTAGATGGCCATGGAGCTCTGTTTGCCTGGGCCTCTCAGCCGACCAGCCAGGGGGGCAAATACAGCCAGGGGGACAGCATGCTCTGGAGGAGGAATGGAAGTATCAGAATAGTGAAAGAAAGATGGATCCCTGCACACTGTTGAATGCTCCTGCAGTTTTTATTGAGTGCAACGTTTTTACCTGAAGGTCATAGTGAAGCCTTATGGTATGCCACAGAACAGAGCTCTATACTACATAGCTGGTGCCACAGAACAGAGCCCTATACTACATAGCTGGTGCCACAGAACAGAGCTCTATACTACATAGCTGGTGCCACAGAACAGAGCTCTATACTACATAGCTGGTGCCACAGAACAGAGCCCTATACTACATAGCTGGTGCCACAGAACAGAGCCCTATACTACATAGCTGGTGCCACAGAACAGAGCTCTATACTACATAGCTGGTGCCACAGAACAGAGCTCTATACTACATAGCTGGTGCCACAGAACAGAGCTCTATACTACATAGCTGGTGCCACAGAACAGAGCCCTATACTACATAGCTGGTGCCACAGAACAGAGCCCTATACTACATAGCTGGTGCCACAGAACAGAGCCCTATACTACATAGCTGGTGCCACAGAACAGAGCCCTATACTACATAGCTGGTGCCACAGAACAGAGCCCTATACTACATAGCTGGTGCCACAGAACAGAGCTCTATACTACATAGCTGGTGCCACAGAACAGAGCCCTATACTACATAGCTGGTGCCACAGAACAGAGCTCTCTACTACATAGCTGGTGCCACAGAACAGAGCCCTATACTACATAGCTGGTGCCACAGAACAGAGCTCTATACTACATAGCTGGTGCCACAGAACAGAGCTCTATACTACATAGCTGGTGCCACAGAACAGAGCCCTATACTACATAGCTGGTGTCACAGAACAGAGCCCTATACTACATAGCTGGTGCCACAGAACAGAGCCCTATACTACATAGCTGGTGCCACAGAACAGAGCCCTATACTACATAGCTGGTGCCACAGAACAGAACTCTATACTACATAGCTGGTGCCACAGAACAGAGCCCTATACTACATAGCTGGTGCCACAGAACAGAGCCCTATACTACATAGCTGGTGCCACAGAACAGAGCCCTATACTACATAGCTGGTGCCACAGAACAGAGCTCTATACTACATAGCTGGTGCCACAGAACAGAGCTCTATACTACATAGCTGGTGCCACAGAACAGAGCCCTATACTACATAGCTGGTGCCACAGAACAGAGCCCTATACTACATAGCTGGTGCCACAGAACAGAGCCCTATACTACATAGCTGGTGCCACAGAACAGAGCCCTATACTACATAGCTGGTGCCACAGAACAGAACTCTATACTACATAGCTGGTGCCAAAGAACAGAGCCCTATACTACATAGCTGGTGCCACAGAACAGAGCCCTATACTACATAGCTGGTGCCACAGAACAGAGCCCTATACTACATAGCTGGTGCCACAGAACAGAGCTCTATACTACATAGCTGGTGCCACAGAACAGAGCTCTATACTACATAGCTGGTGCCACAGAACAGAGCTCTATACTACATAGCTGGTGCCACAGAACAGAGCTCTATACTACATAGCTGGTGCCACAGAACAGAGCCCTATACTACATAGCTGGTGCCACAGAACAGAGCCCTATACTACATAGCTGGTGCCACAGAACAGAGCTCTATACTACATAGCTGGTGCCACAGAACAGAGCTCTATACTACATAGCTGGTGCCACAGAACAGAGCTCTATACTACATAGCTGGTGCCACAGAACAGAGCTCTATACTACATAGCTGGTGCCACAGAACAGAGCCCTATACTACATAGCTGGTGCCACAGAACAGAGCTTCTACTACATAGCTGGTGCCACAGAACAGAGCTCTATACTACATAGCTGGTGCCACAGAACAGAGCTCTATACTACATAGCTGGTGCCACAGAACAGAGCTCTATACTACATAGCTGGTGCCACAGAACAGAGCTCTATACTACATAGCTGGTGCCACAGAACAGAGCTCTATACTACATAGCTGGTGCCACAGAACAGAGCTCTATACTACATAGCTGGTGCCACAGAACAGAGCTCTATACTACATAGCTGGTGCCACAGAACAGAGCCCTATACTACATAGCTGGTGCCACAGAACAGAGCCCTATACTACATAGCTGGTGCCACAGAACAGAGCCCTATACTACGTAGCTGGTTTAAGGAGTTAGTCAGGTAACTTTGGTCAACGCTGAGTTCAACTCAGGATAACCGGTACCATGAAAGTGGCTCATCTTTTAGCCAGGTACATTTCTATGGCAACGAATCCTTCAGAACTAACCTGCTCCGGGGCAGGCTAACTCAGGGCTAACTACATTTGTGCTGAATTAAGTATACGAGTCACGAGCTGAGGACCAATGAAATCAGATTTCTTCCCTCTCGCAAAGATTGTGACATCATCCCCTTCATTTGAGGAAGACAATTGATTCAATATTTTATTAATCAAATGTTTTTTTGGTGTTATTATTATAATTATTTCTATCACATTAAACATTTAGTAACAACAGAATGCGTTTGAAACTTCACACACAATAAAATAAGAGGTAAAGATTACTTCACCAGGCTTTGCCTAGCCTGGATTCCAGTCTGTTTCTGGGTAACTTCCTTCACCAGACTTTCCCTAGCCTGGATTCCAGTCTGTTTCTGGGTAACTTCCTTCACCAGACTTTCCCTAGCCTGGATTCCAGTCTGTTTCTGTTTAACTGACTTTCCCTAGCCTGGATTCCAGTCTGTTTCTGTTTTAACTGACTTTCTCTAGCCTGTTTGCCAGTCTGTTTCTGGGTAAATTTCTTTACCAGGCTCTCCCTAGCCTGGATGCCAGTTTATTTTTGTGTTACTGACTTTCCCTAGCCTGGATGCCAGTCTGTTTTTGTGTAACTCACCTTCTCTAGCCTGGATAGTCTGTTTCTCATAACTGACTCTCACTTACTTGGATACCAGTCTGCTTCTGGGTCACTGACTTTCCCTGGGCTGATTGCCAGTCTGTTTCTGGGTAAGGGACTTTCTCTAGCCTGGATGCCAGTCTGTTTCTGGGTAAGGGACTTTCTCTAGCCTGGATAACAGTCTGTTTCTGGGTAAGGGACTTTCCCTAGCGTGTATGCTAGAGTGCTTCTGGGTAATTTACTTTCCCTAGCCTGGATGCAAATCTGTTGTTGTGTAACTGACTTTCCCTAGCCTGGATAACAGTCTGTTTCTGGGTAAAGGACTTTCCCTAGCCTGGATTCCAGTCTTTCACTAGCCAGTTTGCCAGTCTGTTTCTGGGTAACTTCCTTCATCAGGCTCTCCCTAGCCTGGATAACAGTCTGTTTCTGATAACTGACTCTCACTTCCTTGGATACCAGTCTGTTTCTGGGTAACTGACTTTCCCTAGCCTGGATGCTATTTAGTTTTTGTGTTACCTATTTTCCCTTGCCTGGATTCCAGTCTGTTCCTGTTTAACTGACTTTCCCTAGCCTGGATTCCAGTCTGTTCCTGTTTAACTGACTTTCTGTAGCCTGGATTCCAGTCTGTTTCTCTGTAACTTCCTTCACCAGACTTTCCCTAGCCTGGATGCCAGTCTATTTCTGCTCTCTTACCAATTTACCAACTCCATTTAGTTTCTTAAGGAATTGCCATACCAACTCAATGCTTGGTTTGACAATGACAGCAATGGAGTTGGCAAGAGCACAAACAGATCTGGGACCAGGCTTTCCCCTCAGCCCAATCACCAGTACATAGTAAATCTCCCTATCTGGGGATTTGAGCAGAAATCCATCTGCCATTGGAATCTGAAACATTCTTTCCATTTCATCTCAGTGATCTGAATACCTTCCCCAGGCTCAAGTAGGGAGAGACCGTCCTGCTCAGGCCCTGTCTGCTTAGAGCCTTTCTCAGGGAGACCCCTTCCTCTTCCTCCTCCTCCTCCTCCTCCCCCTCTTCTAGTTCTCTCTCTTCTGTGTATCATCTCTCCACAGTCAGGCTCCCCTCTGTCCTCCTCTGATTGCTTGTGGTGGACACCAACTGAGAGACACAGAAGAGACCGACAAGACAATAGGATGAAGATCGTTAGTGTAAAATATAATGTGTTTTCAATTACTTACGTAGTTAAATAATACAATAAATAAGAATGTCCTAGTAGGTATTAGTCAGCATGTTAAACATTAATACACAGGGCAAATAAAGATACCTGTCTGCATCTCCTCCTCTTCTATATGGGGTAGCAGCACTGACAGCAGCAGCCTTCTGGGTCCTGGCTTCTCCGGATGGGCTTGGGGCTCTAGGTGGGTCTGGGTCAACCTCTCTGGCTGGGTCTGGGCTGGACCCTCTGAGCTGACGTAAGCCTCATGTATGAGTGGCAGGAACTGCTCTGAGTCTCTCCTCCCCCCCAGCCCACCTGGACTCCTTGGTTTCTGCCATATAAGGATTTAGAATTACTATGTTGTAATTCTATGAAGCTCAAAGCTGGTGTCATTAGAACGCCTTACTTACCCTCCCACCACTGTCCCTCTCCGGGTCCAGACTGACCAGTGAGCCAGAAAAAACGGGAGGGAAATGAAATCTGGAGACGCTGGGGTCTAAAGATGTGTTGTCCTTCGCACTGCCTTGTTTCACTGACCAAAGAAACAAAACAAGTTGGAATTTGACTCTGTGATACACATGCACACTCACAATCATTCTTAATTCTTCACAACTGAACTGAAGAATGTGAAGGAAGGTGAATATATGAAGGAAGGTGAACTCACGTTTCCGTCCCTGCTGGGCCCCACCCAGGTAACCACCATAGTAGTTGATGTGTGATAGCTGGCTGCTTCTCCAGGAGGAATCTACTGAAGCCGTCTTCAGACTGCAGGGTCTCTCTCCTCTCTGTAGAGGCCAGGGTCTCTCTCCTCTCTGTAGAGGCCAGGGTCTCTCTCCTCTCTGTAGAGGCCAGGGTCTCTCTCCTCTCTGTAGAGGCCAGGGTCTCTCTCCTCCAACATCCTCACAGTCTTTCACACTAAATCGTTATAATTTATTCAACTTCTGTAGCGCTTTTCATAACAGAAAGAAATCTCAAAGCAATATGTCATGCAAACGTGCAATATATCATGAGTAGCCAAGCTATAGCTAACTATACTGAACAAAATTATAAACGCAACAAAGTGTAAAGTGTTGGTCCCATTTTTCATGAGCTGAAATAAAAGATCCCAGAAATGTTCCACATGCACAAAAAGCTTATTTCTCTAAAATGTTGTGCACAAATTTGTTTACATCTCTGTTATTGAGCATTTCTCCAGGGCCAAGATAATCCATCCATCTAACAGGCATGGCATATCAAGAAGCTGATTAAACAGCATGATCATTACACAGGTGGACCTTGTGCTGTGGGCAATAAAAGGCCATGTCCAACAGAGCTGTTGCCAGGGATTTTAATGTTCATTTCTCTACCATAAGCCGCCTACAACGTCATTTGAAAGAATTTGGCAGTACATCCTACCGTCATCACAACCGCAGACCACGTGTAACCACGCCAGCCCAGGACCTCCACATCCGGCTTTTTCACCTGCGGGATTGTCTGAGGAGGGGTAGGTGGGGGGGGGTGCTGAGGAGTATTTCTGTCTGTAATAAAGCCCTTTTGTGGGGAAAAACATATTCTGATTTGTATTTGTATTTATTATAGATCCCCATTAGTTCCTGCCAAGGCAGCAGCTACTCTTCCTGGGGTTTATTATGGATCCCCATTAGTTCCTGCCAAGGCAGCAGCTACTCTTCCTGTGGTTTATTATGGATCCCCATTAGTTCCTGTCAAAGGCAGCAACAGCTACTCTTCCTGGGGTTTATTATGGATCCCCATTTCCCCAGGGAGCAACACCCTTTTCCTTTTGGGGGGTTTTTTATGGATCCCCCTTGTTTTTGTCAAACACAGTTTCTCTTTCCTGGGGGTTTTTAGGGACCCCATTGTCCTGCCAAGGCAGCACTACTCTTCCGGGGTTTATTGGATCCCCCTTAGTTTCCCCGCCAAAGAGCAGTACTCTTCCTGGGGTTTTTTATGGATCCCCATTATTCCTGCCAAGGCAGAAAATACTCTTCCTGGGGTTTTTTAGGATCCCCATTAGTTTCCCGCCCAAGGCAGCACTACCTCCCTGGGTTTATTAGGGGTCCCATTTGTTTTTCCCCCCCAAGGCATCATCTCTTCCTGGGGTTTTTTTAGGGTCCCCCTTAGTTTCCCCCCAAGGAAACGTATTCCGGGGTTTTTTAGGGGGTCCCCCCTTAGTTCCGCCAAGGCAGCAAACTACTCTTTTCCCCGGGGTTTATTAGGGATCCCCCCTTGTTCCCGCCCGGCAGCAGTACTCTTTCCTGGGGTTTTTTTTAGGGATCCGCCATTAGTTTTCCCCCCAAGGCACAGCATCTTCCTGGGGTTTTTTTAGGGACCCCCCCCTTATTTTTCCCGCCAAGGCAGCAGTACTTTCCTGGGGTTTTTAGGGATCCCCATTAGTTCCTGCCAAAGGGGAGCACTCTCTTTCCCGGGTTTATAGGGATCCCCATTAGTTCTGCCAAAGGCCCCCAAATACTCTTTTTTTTTTTACCCCTTACCCCGCCGGGGGGCCCCTTTCCTGGGGTTTATTAGGGGTCCCCATTAGTTCCTGCCAAGCAGCAGCTACTCTTCCTGGGGTTTATTATGGATCCCCATTAGTTCCTGCCAAGGCACAGCTACTCTTCCTGGGTTTATTAGGGATCCCCCTTATTTTTCCTCCCAAAGGGGAAAGCAGCTACTCTTCCTGGGGTTTATTATGGATCTCCATTAGTTCCTCCCAAAGGGCCCAGCAGCTACTCTCCCTGGGGTTTATTATGGATCCCCATTAGTTCCTGCTAAGGCAGCAGCTACTCTTCCTGGGGTTTATTATGGATCCCCATTAGTTCCTGCCAAAGCAGCAGCTACTCTTCCTGGTGTTTATTATGGATCCCCATTAGTTCCTGCCAAGGCAGCAGCTACTCTTCCTGGGGTTTATTATGGATCCCCATTAGTTCCTGCCAAGGCAGCAGCTACTCTCCCTGGGGTTTATTATGGATCCCCATTAGTTCCTGCCAAGGCAGCAGCTACTCTTCCTTGGGTCCAAACACATTAAGGCACTTGTATTACACATAAAACCAAAGATAAAACAGGACATCATAGAACACTGTCACACCTCCAAATATCCACACCACAAAATGTATAATACCACTATACAACAATATTACAATGTGCGTGTGTGTAGAGTGTGCATGTGCTTGTGGGGTATGCATGGGTGTCCGAGCTGTGTGCTAGTAGTTTAAACAGACAGCTCGGTACATTCAGCTTGTCAAAACCTCTTACAAAAACAAGTAATGATAAAGTCAATCTTTCCTCCACTTTAAGTCCCTTTTTGTGGCACCTGACCACACGACTGAACAGTAGTCCAGGTGCGACAAAACTAGGGCCTGTAGGACCTGCCTTGTTGATAGTGCTGTTAAGAAGGTTGAGCAGCGCTTTATTATGGACAGACTTCTCCCCATCTTAGCTACTGTTGTATCAACATGTTTTGACCATGACAGTTTACAATCCAGGGTTACTCCAAACAGTTTAGTCACCTCAACTTGCTAAATGTCCTCACTATTCATTGCAAGACTTAGTTGAGGTTTAGGGTTTAGTGAATGTGTCCCAAATACAATGCTTTAAGTTTTTGAAATATTTAGGACTAACTTCTTCCTTGCCACCCATTCTGAAACAAACGGCAGCCCTTTGTTAAGTGTTGCAGTCATTTCAGTCGCTGTAGTAGCTGACGTGTATAGTGTTGAGTCATCCGCATACATAGACACACTGGCTTTACTCAAAGACAGTGGCATGTTGTTAGTAAAGATTTAAAAAAGTAATGGGCCTAGACAGCTGCCCTGGGGAATTCCTGATTCTACCTGGATTATGTTGGAGATGCTTCCATTAAAGAACACCCTCTGTGTTCTGTTAGACAGGTAACTCTTTATCCACAATATAGCAGGGAGTGTAAAGCCATAACACATACGTTTTTCCAGCAGCAGACGATGATTGATAATGTCAAAAGCCGCACTGAAGTCTAACAAAACAGCCACCACAATATTTTTATCATCAATTTCTCTCAGCCAATCATCAGTCATTTGTGTAAGTGCTGTGTTTGTTGAATGTCTTTTCCTATAAGCGTGCTGAAAGTCTGTTGTCAATTTGTTTACAGTAAAATAGCATTGTATCTGTTCAAACACAATTTTTTCAAAAAGTTTACTAAGGGTTGGTAACAGGTTGATTGGTTGGCTATTTGAGCCAGTAAAGGGGACTTTACTATTCTTAGGTAGCGGAATGACTTTTGCTTCCCTTCAGGCCTGAGGGCACACACTTTCTAGTAGGCGTAAATTGAAGATATGGCAAATAGGAGGGGCAATATCATCCGCTATTATCCTCAGTAATTTTACATAGACAACAACAAATAATTTCACTTCTTCCATACATACTTTACGGAATTCAAAATTACAATGCTTGTCTTTCATAATTTGATCAGTTGTACTTGGATGTATAGTGTCAGCGTTTGTTGCTGGCATGTCATGCCTAAGTTTGCTAATCTTGCCAATGAAAAAATCATCAAAGTAGTTGGCAATATCAGTGGGTTTTGTGATGAATGAGCCATCTGATTCAAGAAATGATGGAGCTGAGTTTGCCTTTTTGCCCAAAATATCATTTAAAGTGCTCCAAAGCTTTTTACTATCATTCTTTATGTCATTTATCTTTGTTTCATAGTGTAGTTTCTTCTTCTTTTTATTCAGTTTAGTCACATGATTTCTCAATTTGCAGTACGTTTGCCAATCGGTTGTGCAGCCAAATTATTTGCCATTCCTTTTGCCTCATCCAACAACATAAGAATCATTCATTACATCTTCAACATAGGAATCACTACAAAACGTATTGTATGACCTCTTATACACTATATTAGGCCCAGCCTTTGGAATTTAGGTTTTCCTAGATCTGGCTACTATATTGTGATCACTACGTCCAATGGATCTGGATACTGCTTTAAAGCACATGTCTGTAGCATTAGTAAAGATGTGATCAATACGTGTTGATGATTTAATTCCTGTGCTGTTTGTAACTATCCTGGTAGGTTGACTGATAACCTAACCAGGTTGCAGGCACTGGTTACAGTTTTAAGCTTTCTCTTGAGTGGGCAGCCTGATGAAAGCCTGCCAATATTTAAATCATCCAGCAAATATACCTCTCTGTTGATATCAAATACATTTGGTTCTCCACCTTTGACATTTCTGTCTTTTCTGTAGATCTTATAACCATGTATAGCAACCATTGTATCATCAAAGGTATTACAGTGGGGGGGAAAAGTATTTAGTCAGCCACCAATTGTGCAAGTTCTCCCACTTAAAAAGATGAGAGAGGCCTGTAATTTCCATCATAGGTACACGTCAACTAGAACAGACAAAATGAGAAAAAAAATCCAGAAAATCACATTGTAGGATTTTTAATGAATTTATTTGCAAATTATGGTGGAAAATAAGTATTTGGTCAATAACAAAAGTTTCTCAATACTTTGTTATATACCCTTTGTTGGCAATGACACAGGTCAAACGTTCTCTGTAAGTCTTCACAAGGTTTTCACACACTGTTGCTGGTATTTTGGCCCATTCCTCCATGCAGATCTCCTCTAGAGCAGTGATGTTTTGGGGCTGTCGCTGGGCAACACGGACTTTCAACTCCCTCCAAAGATTTTCTATGGGGTTGAGATCTGGAGACTGGCTAGGCCACTCCAGGACCTTGAAATGCTTCTTACGAAGCCACTCCTTCGTTGCCCGGGCGGTGTGTTTGGGATCCTTGTCATGCTGAAAGACCCAGCCACGTTTCATCTTCAATGCCCTTGCTGATGGAAGGAGGTTTTCACTCAAAATCTCACGATACATGGCCCCATTCATTCTTTCCTTTACACGGATCAGTCGTCCTGGTCCCTTTGCAGAAAAAACAGCCCCAAAGCATGATGTTTCCACCCCCATGCTTCACAGTAGGTATGGTGTTCTTTGGATGCAACTCAGCATTCTTTGTCCTTCAAACACGACGAGTTGAGTTTTTACCAAAAAGTTCTATTTTGGTTTCATCTGACCATATGACATTCTCCCAATCCTCTTCTGGATCATCCAAATGCACTCTAGCAAACTTCAGACGGGCCTGGACATGTATTGGCTTAAGCAGGGGGACACGTCTTGCACTGCAGGATTTGAGTCCCTGGCGGCATAGTGTGTTATTGATGGTAGGCTTTGTTACTTTGGTCCCAGCTCTCTGCAGGTCATTCACTAGGTCCCCCCGTGTGGTTCTGGGATTTTTGCTCACCGTTCTTGTGATCATTTTGACCCCACGGGGTGAGATCTTGCGTGGAGCCCCAGATCGAGGGAGATTATCAGTGGTCTTGTATGTCTTCCATTTCCTAATAATTGCTCCCACAGTTGATTTCTTCAAACCAAGCTGCTTACCTATTGCAGATTCAGTCTTCCCAGCCTGGTGCAGGTCTACAATTTTGTTTCTGGTGTCCTTTGACAGCTCATTGGTCTTGGCCATAGTGGAGTTTGGAGTGTGACAGTTTGAGGTTGTGGACAGGTGTCTTTTATACTGATAACAAGTTCAAACAGGTGCCATTAATACAGGTAACGAGTGGAGGACAGAGGAGCCTCTTAAAGAAGAAGTTACAGGTCTGTGAGAGCCAGAAATCTTGCTTGTTTGTAGGTGACCAAATACTTATTTTCCACCATAATTTGCAAATAAATTCATTAAAAATCCTACAATGTGATTTTCTGGAATTTTTTTTCTTAATTTGTCTGTCATAGTTGACGTGTACCTATGATGAAAATTACAGGCCTCTCTCATCTTTTTAAGTGGGAGAACTTGCACAATTGGTGGCTGACTAAATACTTTTTTCCCCCACTGTATCTAAGTGAGTTTCAGAGATTGTCAGAATATGAATATCATCTGTTACTAGCAAATTATTGATTTCATGAACCTTGTTTCTTAAGCTACATATGTTAACGTGGGCCATTTTTAGCACTTTTCTGGAATGCTTGATTGTTTTTATTGCTTTACTGGGAAGCTTAGCAGCAGTAGATGTGCTCATGTTATTTATATTAGTGCAGGGTGAGCTGCACACAGTGGACTTCCTACTAGGGGCACACCGTCTCAGTGCTAACAGTATAACTCTGCTTCATAGGCACATTAATACTGCATTCAGTAGCTGTGGGATCAGCAGAGGCATTCAGGGCAGTAAGAGTGACATACAGTAAATTAGGTTACTTACATTGTGTCTTCCAATGCCCCTGGGATAATGTACATTTACTGAAGTATTATGACAACTCAGCGACACAATGGTAGGGATTAACTGAGTTAGGCTTGGGTCATTGATAAGTCATTGTCTCAACGCAGCCTCATAATGCTGTGAAAGGACCCAGGAACCCAAATTATTTGGGTGGATCCCATCCTCCTTTTAAAACGAGCTTTGCTTCCAGAAGGTATCAGAATTGTCAATAAACGTTATACCCACAGAGCTACAATAGTCTTGTAGCCAGTTATGGAGGGCTAAAAGTCTGCTGAAACGTTCAATGCCACGACTTAGGGAAGGCAGAGGGACAGATATTGTGGGGCGTTTGTTGGTGTCAAGCAGTGACCCAATCAGTTCTTTAAAATCCAACTTCAGCTGTTCTGAGCTGCTGCCCTTCATAATGTCATTGAATCCCATTTCCTGATACAGGTTTAAAATGTTTGGGAGCAGCTTATTGATGTCCTGTACTCGTGCTCCTGGATACCACAACGTTTTTGGTCCAGGGACTGAGACATTTCTCACCATTGAACTGCCCAAAACAACGGCCAGAGAAGGGAATTGATAAATCCTCCCATTCCCATTCCCACCCCTCACACAATTCGTTGAATCTTTCACGGGCCAATGAGAAGCAGGATAGCGTACACCCGCTGCTCCCGGCGATAGGTCCAGACCTCCCACAGCAGGCAGTGCCCCGTCAGATCCAGACAGAGGGAAAGGAGCCGAACTCGACGACGAAGCCGCTGCTGGAGTCAGTGTAGTTGGAGTTAGCACCACCGTCACAGACACAGGCAGTCCCAGACACAGGCAGTCCCAGACACAGGCAGTCCCAGACACAGGCAGTCCCAGACACAGGCAGTCACAGACAGAGGTGCAGGTAAATCAGGCTCCAGTGCAGCGAAGCTATTCCTCATGTCAATCTGCTCCGAACATCTCGCAGTCACTCCAGTCCGCTTAGCAGCATGCCGCTGCCTTCGGTTTCCACGACTTGTGACATGGGACCAGCACTGATTGGAACAATCCTCTTGCTGTTCTCCGTCTACTTCACTGCAGGATGGAGGAGGAGAAGCAGATGGAGACAACTTCCTTGGCAGGCAAGTTCCAGGTAGAACAGGCCATTCAGATTGGGACAGATGACAAGGCGGGGAAACACCCATCGGGCCCGAGCAGCATCCAGCCATAGGAGTTGAGAACGAGAAAGTTCCAATTTGCGTTTTCCCCATAAGTTTGCGCAGAATTGAGATTTGTTTGTTAAGCATAGTGTTAGATTAATTTGTATTTTAAGAATAATGACTAAAGGATTTCACCCCAAATACAGTATAAATGTGTGAACGGTGTTAGAGTTATAATGTAGTGGCAACCCACTAACAGAGGGGGGCGGGACTAAACATTCCAGGGTGAAGGGGACTGAGAAAACTGGTTAAAAAAAGCCTCCTGAAGGTGGGCGGAGCAAAGTGCCTTTGTGTGTCAAGAGGTATAAAACAGGAGTGTATGGGTTTTGGCGCCAGAGCTCTCCATGAATAAAAATACAGATCATTCTTGCTGGTTGTGGACCTTGAATCATTTATGATTAAAACCAGAGCCTTACAACCTCTGGTAATGATTCAAGCTTAGGTTGAATTAGAGATAGAAATTCTCATGACACAAAGCCACCTCCTTCCTGTAATCCTCCGCATTGGAACTCCGGATTGTCAATATTGTCCCTGACAAGAGCATAATAAACACAGCTTCTACAGCGCTGGAAACGTTCGTTAGCTATTCCAGGCGAAGTGAGCTCTATTGCAACCTAGCCACCTAGCTAGCTGGTTAGTTGGTAGCAGGTGTTGACACAAACGTTATGAACATAATTAAATAAAACAAAGTAGAACAAAGTAAAACTTTGGAAACAGAAGCCACAGGTCAAGGCGCAGGAGGTATTAGAGTTTGTGACAGGAAATTACGTGGACAGGAAATGTGAGAGCACTGTGATTAGCTGGGCCTGGCTCCCCAGTTGGAGGACCTGGCTCCCCAGTGTGTGCACCCCTGCCCAGTCATGTGAAATCCATAGGTCCTAATGAATTTATTTCAATTGACTGATTTCCTTCTATGAACTGTAACTCAGTAAAAATATTTTGAAATTGTTGCATGTTGCGGTTATATTTTTGTTCAGTATAAGTCAACCAATAGAGGCCAAGTGTTTGAGTGCATGCATCCTTCAAAGATCTAGAGCACGTGTCAAACTCATTCCACGGAGGGCCGAGTGTCTGCGGGTTTTCGCTACTCCCTTGTACTTGATTGATGAAAAAAGGTCACTAATTAGTAAGGAACTCCCCTCACCTGGGTGTCTAGGGCTTAATTGAAATGAAAAACCAAAAAACCAAAAACCCGCAGACACTAAGCCCTCCGTGGGACGAGTTTGACCCCCCTGAGAGATACTATACCTGTCATCAGGGTGTATTACCACGGGCCTCCCAATCTCCTGGAATATACAATAAAGATGATCAGTTATGTTGAAATTGTTGAGACTAGTCCAGGGGGTTTACTAGTACATCAAGCTGCCTCACGCTACAGAAACAGGAGACAGGCTCCTGCCCTATGGGCCGTTCTGACTAGGACAAGGCTTACTTATAGTGAAACCAAATGCCTTTGACAAAATGGTACATCGACAAAATGGACAATTAGTTTTTGTTATCACCTGTCCATGAGGTGGATCTCCAGGGAGGTGTTTGGTACTCTCTACCCGCCAAAGAGGCTCTGTCTCTGGGATGGGACTCATCTGAACCCTGGGTGTCTCAACCATGACTTCAAACTTCACACGCCTCAGTAGCCTAGCCTCCTGCTCCTCCAAACCTGTTAGAGACAACAACAATAACAATAACAACAACAACAACAACAATAACAATAACAACAAACAAACAACAAGATCATTTAAATGTTGACCTGCTGCTCTCGATGGATGACATTACATGACAGAATCAATGAATGCTACTATTGATGGATAACAGTTCAATAGAATTACCATTGATCTACTCTGACATTTTTTATTTTTTTATTTAACCAGGTAAGCCAGTTGAGAACAAGTTCTCATTTACAACTGCGACCTGGCCAAGATAAAGCATAGCAGTGCGATAAAAACAACAACACAGAGTTACATATGGGGTAAAAAAACATAAAGTCAAAAATACAACAGAAAATATATATACAGTGTGTGCAAATGTAGTAAGTTATGGAGGTAAGGCAATAAATAGGCTATAGTGCAAAATAATTACAATTAGTATTAACACTGGAATGCTAGATGTGCAAGAGATGATGTGCAAATAGAGATACTGGGGTGCAAAAGAGCAAAATAAATAACAATATAGGGATGAGGTAGTTGGGTGGGCTAATTATTGATGGGCTGTGTACAGGTGCAGTGATCGGTAAGGTGCTCTGACAACTGACACTTAAAGTTAGTGAGGGAGATAAGAGTCTCCAGCTTCAGAGATGTTTGTAATTCGTTCCAGTCATTGGCAGCAGAGAACTGGAAGGAATGGCGACCAAAGGAGGTGTTGGCTTTGGGGATGACCAGTGAGATATACCTGCTGGAGCGCAGACTACGGGTGGGTGCTGCTATGGTGACCAATGAGCTAAGATAAGACTGGGATTTGCCTAGCAGTGATTTATAGATGACCTGGAGCCAGTGGGTTTGGCGATGAATATGTAGTGAGGACCAGCCAACAAGAGCGTACAGGTCACAGTGGTGGGTAGTATATGGGGCTTTCGTGACAAAACGGATGGCACTGTGATAGACTACATCCAATTTGCTGAGGAGAGTGTTGGAGGCTATTTTGTAAATGACATCACCGAAGTCAAGGATCAAATCAAATCAAATCAAATTTTATTGGTCACATGCGCCGAATACAACAGGTGCAGACATTACAGTGAAATGCTTACTTAGAGCCCTTAACCAACAGTGCATTTATTTTTAACAAAAAAAGTAAAAATAAAACAACAACAAAAAAAGTGTTGAGAAAAAAAAGAGCAGAAGTAAAATAAAGTAACAGTAGGGAGGCTATATATACAGGGGGGTACCGTTGCAGAGTCAATGTGCGGGGGCACCGGCTAGTTGAGGTAGTTGAGGTAATATGTACATGTGGGTAGAGTTAAAGTGACTATGCATAAATAATTAACAGAGTAGCAGCAGCGTAAAAAGGATGGGGTGGGGGGGCAGTGCAAATAGTCCGGGTAGCCATGATTAGCTGTTCAGGAGTCTTATGGCTTGGGGGTAGAAGCTGTTGAGAAGTCTTTTGGACCTAGACTTGGCACTCCAGTACCGTTTGCGGTGCGGTAGCAGAGAGAACAGTCTATGACTAGGGTGGCTGGAGTCTTTGACCAATTTTGAGGGCCTTCCTCTGACACCGCCTGGTATAGAGGTCCTGGATGGCAGGAAGCTTGGCCCCAGTGATGTACTGGGCCGTACGCACTACCCTCTGTAGTGCCTTGCGGTCGGAGGCCAAGCAGTTGCCATACCAGGCGGTGATGCAACCAGTCAGGATGCTCTCGATGGTGCAGCTGTAGAATTTTATGAGGATCTGAGGACCCATGCCAAATCTTTTCAGTCTCCTGAGGGGGAATAGGCTTTGTCGTGCCCTCTTCACGACTGTCTTGGTGTGTTTGGACCATGATAGTTCGTTGGTGATGTGGACACCAAGGAACTTGAAGCTCTCAACCTGTTCCACTACAGCCCCGTCGATGAGAATGGGGGCGTGCTCAGTCCTCTTTTTTTTCCTGTAGTCCACAATCATCTCCTTTGTCTTGGTCACGTTGAGGGAGAGGTTGTTGTCCTGGCACCACACGGCCAGGTCTCTGACCTCCTCCCTATAGGCTGTCTCATCGTTGTCGGTGTTCAGGCCTACCACTGTTGTGTCGTCGGCAAACTTAATGATGGTGTTGGAGTCGTGCCTGGCCATGCAGTCATGGGTGAACAGAGAGTACAGGAGGGGACTGAGCACGCACCCCTGAGGGTCCCCCGTGTTGAGGATCAGTGTGGCAGATGTGTTGTTACCTACCCTTACCACCTGGGGGCGGCCCGTCAGGAAGTCCAGGATCCAGTTGCAGAGGGAGGTGTTTAGTCCCAGGATCCTTAGCTTAGTGATGAGCTTAGAGGGCACTATGGTGTTGAATGCTGAGCTGTAGTCAATGAATAGCATTCTCACGTAGGTGTTCCTCTTGTCCAGGTGGGAAAGGGCAGTGTGGAGTGCAATAGAGATTGCATCATCTGTGGATCTGTTGGGGCGGTATGCAAATTGGAGTGGGTCTAGGGTTTCTGGGATAATGCTGTTGATGTGAGCCATGACCAGCCTTTCAAAGCACTTCATGGCTACAGACGTCAGTGCTACGGGTCGGTAGTCATTTAGGCAGGTTATCTTAGAGTCCTTGGGCACGGGGACTATGGTGGTCTGCTTAAAACATGTTGGTATTACAGACTCAGTCAGGGACATGTTGAAAATGTCAGTGAAGACACTTGCCAGTTGGTCAGCACATGCTCGGAGTACACGTCCTGGTAATCCGTCTGGCCCTGCGGCCTTGTGAATGTTGACCTGCTTAAAAGTCTTACTCACATCGGCTACGGAGAGCGTGATCACATAGTCATCCGGAACAGCTGGTGCTCTCATGCATGCTTCAGTGTTGCTTGCCTCGAAGCGAGCATAGAAGTGGTTTAGCTCGTCTGGTAGGCTTGTGTCACTGGGCAGCTCGCGGCTGTGCTTCCCTTTGTAGTCTGTAATAGTTTTCAAGCCCTGCCACATCCGACGAGCGTCAGAGCCAGTGTAGTACGATTCAATCTTAGTCCTGTATTGACTCTTTGCCTGTTTGATGGTTCGTCGGAGGTCATAGCGGGATTTCTTATAAGCGTCCGGGTTAGAGTCCCGTTCCTTGAAAGCGGCAGCTCTACCCTTTAGCTCAGTGCGGATGTTTCCTGTCATCCATGGCTTCTGGTTGGGGTATGTACGTACGGTCACTGTGGGGACGACATCATCGATGCACTTATTGATGAAGCCAGTGACTGATGTGGTGTACTCCTCAATGCTGTCTGAAGAATCCCGGAACATTTTCCAGTCTGTGCTAGCAAAACAGTCCTGTAGGATCGGTAGGATAGTCAGTTTTACGAGGGCATGTTTGGCAGCATGTGTGAAGGAGGCTTTGTTGTGAAATAGGAAGCCGATTCTAGATTTAACTTTGGATTGGAGATTCTTAATGTGAGTCTGGAAGGAGAGTTTACAGTCTAACCAGACACCTAGGTATTTGTAGTTGTCCACATACTCTAGGTCAGACCCACCAAGAGTAGTGATTCTAGTCGGGTGGGCGGGTGCCAGCAGCGTTCGATTGAAGAGCATGCATTTAGTTTTACTAGTGTTTAAGAGCAGTTGGAGGCTACTGAAGGAGTGTTGTTTGGCATTGAAGCTTGTTTGGAGGTTTGTTAACACAGTGTCCAATGAAGGGCCAGATGTATACAAAATGGTGTCGTCTGCGTAGAGGTGGATCTGAGAGTCACCAGCAGCAAGAGCGACATCATTGATATACACAGAGAATAGAGTCGGCCCGAGAATTGAACCCTGTGGCACCCCCATAGAGACTGCCAGAGGTCCAGACAACAGGCCCTCCGATTTGACACATTGAACTCTATCTGAGAAGTAGTTGGTGAACCAGGCGAGGCAGTCATTTGAGAAACCAAGGCTATTTAGTCTGCTAATAAGAATGCGGTGGTTGACAGAGTCGAAAGTCTTGGCCAGGTCAATGAAGACGGCTGCACAGTACTGTCTATTATCGATCGCGGTTATAATATCATTTAGGACCTTGAGCGTGGCTGAGGTGCACCCATGACCAGCTCGGAAAACGGATTGCATAGCGGAGAAGGTAGGGTGGGATTCGAAATGGTCGGTGATCTGTTAGTTAACTTGGCTTTCAAATACTTTCGAAAGGCAGGGCAGGATGGATATAGGTCTGTAACAGTTTGGATCTAGGGTGTCACCCCCTTTGAAGAGGGGGATGACCGCGGCAGCGTTCCAATCTCTGGGGATCTCAGACGTTATGAAAGAGGTTGAACAGGCTAGTAATAGGGGTTGCAACAATTTCGGCGGCTAGTTTTAGAAAGAAAGGGTCCAGATTGTCTAGCCCAGATGATTTGTAGGGGTCCAGATTTTGCAGCTCTTTCAGAACATCAGCTGTCTGAATTTGTGTGAAGGAGAAGCGGGGGGGGGGGGGGGGGGGGGCCATGGGCAAGTTGCAGCGGAGGGTGCAGAGCATGCTGTGGCGTCTCCTGTGGTAACTCTGTGACATATAACAATGGCTCAAAAGAAGGTCATGAGCATGCTGCACAGCCAGGGTTGTGGGTTCGACTCCCGGGGCCACCCATACGTAAAATGTATGCACATATGACTGTAAGTCGCTTTGGATAAAAGCATCTGCTAAATGGCATATTATTATATTATATAAACAAACTGTGTGGCATATGTTCTGATAATGTTGGATGGCAACTTTTGCTTCCTGAAAAACAGGTTTAGTGGAGGAATGGTCGATTGGGAGTTGGATTAGTGGAGGCATGGGCGATTGGGAGTTGGGTTAGTGGAGGCATGGGCGATTGGGAGTTGGATTAGTGGAGGCATGGGCGATTGGGAGTTGGATTAGTGGAGGCATGGGCGATTGGGAGTTGGGTTAGTGGAGGCATGGGCGATTGGGAGTTGGATTAGTGGAGGCATGGGGGATTGGGAGTTGGGTTAGTGGAGGCATGGGCGATTGGGAGTTGGATTAGTGGAGGCATGGGCAATTGAGAGTTGGATTAGTGGAGGCATGGGCGATTGGGAGTTGGATTAGTGGAGGCATGGGGGATTGGGAGTTGGGTTAGTGGAGGCATGGGCGATTGGGAGTTGGATTAGTGGAGGCATGGGCGATTGGGAGTTGGATTAGTGGAGGCATGGGCGATTGGGAGTTGGGTTAGTGGAGGCATGGGCGATTGGGAGTTGATTAGTGGAGGCATGGGCGATTGGGAGTTGGGTTAGTGGCGGCATGGGCGATTGGGAGTTGGATTAGTGGAGGCATGGGCGATTGGGAGTTGGATTAGTGGAGGCATGGGCGATTGGGAGTTGGGTTAGTGGAGGCATGGGCGATTGGGAGTTGGATTAGTGGAGGCATGGGCGATTGGGAGTTGGATTAGTGGAGGCATGGGCGATTGGGAGTTGGATTAGTGGAGGCATGGGCGATTGGGAGTTGGGTTAGTGGAGGCATGGGCGATTGGGGAGTTGTGTTAGTGGAGGCATGGGCGATTCGGAGTTGGGTTAGTGGAGGCATGGGCGATTGGGGAGTTGGATTAGTGGAGGCATGGGCGATTGGGAGTTGGATTAGTGGAGGCACGGGCGATTGGGAGTTGGGTTAGTGGAGGCACAGGCGATTGGGAGTTGGGTTAGTGGAGGCATGGGCGATTGGGAGTTGGATTAGTGGAGGCATGGGCGATTGGGAGTTGGATTAGTGGAGGCATGGGCGATTGGGAGTTGGATTAGTGGAGGCATGGGCGATTGGGAGTTGGATTAGTGGAGGCATGGGCGATTGGGAGTTGGGTTAGTGGAGGCATGGGCGATTGGGAGTTGGATTAGTGGAGGCATGGGCGATTGGGAGTTGGGTTAGTGGAGGCATGGGCGATTGGGAATTGGGATGGGCGATTGGGAGTTGGGTTAGTGGAGGCATGGGCGATTGGGAGTTGGGATGGGCGATTGGGAGTTGGGTTAGTGGAGGCATGGGCGATTGGGAGTTGGATTAGTGGAGGCATGGGCGATTGGGAGTTGGATTAGTGGAGGCATGGGCGATTGGGAGTTGGATTAGTGGAGGCATGGGCGATTGGGAGTTGGGTTAGTGGAGGCATGGGCGATTGGGAGTTGGATTAGTGGAGGCATGGGCGATTGGGAGTTGGGTTAGTGGAGGCATGGGCGATTGGGAGTTGGATTAGTGGAGGCATGGGCGATTGGGAGTTGGATTAGTGGAGGCATGGGCGATTGGGAGTTGGGTTAGTGGAGGCATGGGCGATTGGGAGTTGTGTTAGTGGAGGCATGGGCGATTCGGAGTTGGGTTAGTGGAGGCATGGGCGATTGGGAGTTGGATTAGTGGAGGCATGGGCGATTGGGAGTTGGATTAGTGGAGGCACGGGCGATTGGGAGTTGGGTTAGTGGAGGCACGGGCGATTGGGAGTTGGGTTAGTGGAGGCATGGGCGATTGGGAGTTGGGTTAGTGGAGGCATGGGCGATTGGGAGTTGGGTTAGTGGAGGCATGGGCGATTGGGAGTTGGATTAGTGGAGGCATGGGCGATTGGGAGTTGGATTAGTGGAGGCATGGGCGATTGGGAGTTGGATTAGTGGAGGCATGGGCGATTGGGAGTTGGATTAGTGGAGGCATGGGGGATTGGGAGTTGGGTTAGTGGAGGCATGGGCGATTGGGAGTTGGGTTAGTGGAGGCATGGGCGATTGGGAGTTGGATTAGTGGAGGCATGGGCGATTGGGAGTTGGGTTAGTGGAGGCATGGGCGATTGGGAGTTGGGATGGGCGATTGGGAGTTGGGTTAGTGGAGGCATGGGCGATTGGGAGTTGGGATGGGCGATTGGGAGTTGGGTTAGTGGAGGCATGGGCGATTGGGAGTTGGGATGGGCGATTGGGAGTTGGGTTAGTGGAGGCATGGGCGATTGGGAGTTGGATTAGTGGAGGCATGGGCGATTGGGAGTTGGGTTAGTGGAGGCATGGGCAATTGGGAGTTGGGTTAGTGGAGGCATGGGCGATTGGGAGTTGGATTAGTGGAGGCATGGGCAATGTTTGGGCGATGTTTGGGCGATTGGGATGGGCGATGTTTGGGCAATGTTTGGGCGATTGGGAGTTGGGTTAGTGGAGGCATGGGCGATTGGGAGTTGGGTTAGTGGAGGCATGGGCGATTGGGAGTTGGGATGGGCGATTGGGAGTTCGGTTAGTGGAGGCATGGGCGATTGGGAGTTGGGTTAGTGGAGGCATGGGCGATTGGGAGTTGGGATGGGCGATTGGGAGTTGGGTTAGTGGAGGCATGGGCGATTGGGAGTTGGGATGGGCGATTGGGAGTTGGGTTAGTGGAGGCATGGCGATTGGGAGTTGGATTAGTGGAGGCATGGGCGATTGGGAGTTGGATTAGTGGAGGCATGGGCGATTGGGGAGTTGGATTAGTGGAGGCATGGGCGATTGGGAGTTGAATTAGTGGAGGCATGGGCGATTGGGAGTTGGATTAGTGGAGGCATGGGCGGATTGGGAGTTGGATTAGTGGAGGCATGGGCGATTGGGAGTTGGATTAGTGGAGGCATGGCGATTGGGAGTTGGATTAGTGGAGGCATGGGCGATTGGGAGTTGGTTAGTGGAGGCATGGGCGATTGGGAGTTGGATTAGTGGAGGCATGGGCGATTGGGAGTTGGATTAGTGGAGGCATGGGCGATTGGGAGTTGGATTAGTGGAGGCATGGGCGATTGGGAGTTGGATTAGTGGAGGCATGGGCGATTGGGAGTTGGATTAGTGGAGGCATGGGCGATTGGGAGTTGGATTAGTGGAGGCATGGGCGATTGGGAGTTGGGTTAGTGGAGGCATGGGCGATTGGGAGTTGGATTAGTGGAGGCATGGCGATTGGGAGTTGGATTAGTGGAGGCATGGGCGATTGGGAGTTGGATTAGTGGAGGCATGGGCGATTGGGAGTTGGATTAGTGGAGGCATGGGCGATTGGGAGTTGGGTTAGTGGAGGCATGGGCGATTGGGAGTTGGATTAGTGGAGGCATGGGCGATTGGGAGTTGGATTAGTGGAGGCAGGGGCGATTGGGAGTTGGGATGGGCGATTGGGAGTTGGGTTAGTGGAGGCATGGGCGATTGGGAGTTGGGATGGGCGATTGGGAGTTGGGTTAGTGGAGGCATGGGCGATTGGGAGTTGGGATGGGCGATTGGGAGTTGGGTTAGTGGAGGCATGGGCGATTGGGAGTTGGATTAGTGGAGGCATGGGCGATTGGGAGTTGGGTTAGTGGAGGCATGGGCGATTGGGAGTTGGGTTAGTGGAGGCATGGGAGATTGGGAGTTGGATTAGTGGAGGCATGGGCGATGTTTGGGCGATGTTTGGGCGATGTTTGGGCGATTGGGATGGGCGATGTTTGGGCAATTGGGATGGGCGATGTTTGGGCGATGTTCGGGCGATTGGGATGGGCGATGTTTGGGCGATGTTTGGGCGATTGGGAGTTGGGTTAGTGGAGGCATGGGCGATTGGGAGTTGGGTTAGTGGAGGCATGGGCGATTGGAAGTTGGGTTAGTGGAGGCATGGGCGATTGGGAGTTGGATTAGTGGAGGCATGGGCGATTGGGAGTTGGATAAGTGGAGGCATGGGCGATTGGGAGTTGGATTAGTGGAGGCATGGGCGATTGGGAGTTGGATTAGTGGAGGCATGGGCGATTGGGAGGTGGGTTAGTAGAGGCATGGGCGATTGGGAGTTGGATTAGTGGAGGCATGGGCGATTGGGAGTTGGATAAGTGGAGGCATGGGCGATTGGGAGTTTGGATTAGTGGAGGCATGGGCGATTGGGAGTTGGATTAGTGGAGGCATGGGCGATTGGGAGTTGGATTAGTGGAGGCATGGGCGATTGGGAGTGGATTAGTGGAGGCATGGGCGATTGGGAGTTGGATTAGTGGAGGCATGGGCGATTGGGAGTTGGATTAGTGGAGGCATGGGCGATTGGGAGTTGGATTAGTGGAGGCATGGGCGATTGGGAGTTGGATTAGTGGAGGCATGGGCGATTGGGAGTTGGATTAGTGGAGGCATGGGCGATTGGGAGTTGGGTAGTGGAGGCATGGGCGATTGGGAGTTGGATTAGTGGAGGCATGGGCGATTGGGAGTTGGATTAGTGGAGGCATGGGCGATTGGGAGTTGGATTAGTGGAGGCATGGGCGATTGGGAGTTGGATTAGTGGAGGCATGGGCGATTGGGAGTTGGATTAGTGGAGGCATGGGCGATTGGGAGTTGGATTAGTGGAGGCATGGGCGATTGGGAGTTGGATTAGTGGAGGCAATGGGCGATTGGGAGTTGGATTAGTGGAGGCATGGGCGATTGGGAGTTGGATTAGTGGAGGCATGGGCGATTGGGAGTTGGGTTAGTGGAGGCATGGGCGATTGGGAGTTGGATTAGTGGAGGCATGGGCGATTGGGAGTTGGGTTAGTGGAGGCATGGGCAATTGGGAGTTGGGTTAGTGGAGGCATGGGCGATTGGGAATTGGGATGGGCGATTGGGAGTTGGGTTAGTGGAGGCATGGGCGATTGGGATTTGGGATGGGCGATTGGGAGTTGGGTTAGTGGAGGCATGGGCGATTGGGAGTTGGGATGGGCGATTGGGAGTTGGGTTAGTGGAGGCATGGGCGATTGGGAGTTGGATAAGTGGAGGCATGGGCGATTGGGAGTTGGGTTAGTGGAGGCATGGGCGATTGGGAGTTGGGTTAGTGGAGGCATGGGCGATGTTTGGGCGATGTTTGGGCGATTGGGATGGGCGATGTTAGGGCGATGTTTGGGCGATTGGGATGGGCGATGTTTGGGCGATTGGGATGGTCGATGTTTGGGCGATGTTTGGGCGATTGGGATGGGCGATGTTTGGGCGATGTTTGGGCGATGTTTGGGCGATTGGGATGGGCGATGTTTGGGCGATGTTTGGGCGATGTTTGGGCGATTGGGATGGGCGATGTTTGGTCGATGTTTGGGCGATGTTTGGGCGATTGGGATGGGCGATGTTTGGGCGATTGGGAGTTTCCACCATGTTTGTTCCCTTCATTCCACTCAATCCCTTTAGAATCAGTGAAGCGAAGTGACCAAGTACACACTTTTGGAGGAAAGAGAGATAATTGGGACTTAAATCTGTTGGTCAACATGCTGAGTTTACCTGGTGCTGGATGAGATACGTCTCTTGTATAGCAGTTCACCTCTGGTATAGGTGGTAAAGGAACTTGAGGTTGCCTGTAGGGTCTGGGGGAGACTGCCTGGCCATTTCCTGCAGCTGGGGTGGGGCATGGGATCTTGACATGGCCCCTACACAGCTCTGGATCATCTGGTAAAACAAGAGACAAGCGGAGGACAGGAAAGGTCTCTCTGTTTCAGTGAAATACTCAGACATGCACAGGCCGTCTATTTTCGGACTTTCTCTCAACTCCCATTCTTGACAGAAGGTGGACACATTTCATGTTAGCCCTGTTATGCCTGTTACCTTTGACCTTTGGCCTGTCCTGTGTGTTACCTGTAAGCTGCTCCAAGTGGCGTCTCCAGGTGGACCTGAAGGGAGTCCAACCTTTGGTGGGGAGTCTGGGGTAGGAGGGTTTGATTGGAGGATAGTAAGACTCCTGACTGGAGGGGAGGGGCAGGACAGGCTGGCCTTCGCCTTCCTCACGGAGCTGAGGGAGACTGGAGAGGAGGGGGAGGACAGGCTGGCCTTCTCCTTCCTCACGGAGCTGAGGGAGACTGGAGGGGAGGGGCAGGACAGGCTGGCCTTCTCCTTCCTCACGGAGCTGAGGGAGACTGGAGGGGAGGGGGAGGACAGGCTGGCCTTCTCCTTCCTCACGGAGCTGAGGGAGACTGGAGGGGAGGGGCAGGACAGGCTGGCCTTCTCCTTCCTCACGGAGCTGAGGGAGACTGGAGGGAAGGGGCAGGACAGGCTGGCCTTCGCCTTCCTCACGGAGCTGAGGGAAAGACAGAGACCAACTATTATAGATGCATCATAACTACTACTACACTACTTTAGATACTTCCCAGTGGTAGGAAAAGGGCTTTAGCAATACATTTAGCCTGTCAGTGGTAAATATGAACTGGATGGGCGTGTCCTACCATAGTTGATATACAGGTAAAAGTCAGTAAATTAGAATATTTTGAAAAACTTGATTTATTTCAGTAATTGCATTCAAAAGGTGTAACTTGTACATTATATTTATTCATTGCACACAGACTGATGCATTCAAATGTTTATTTCATTTAATTTTGATGATTTGAAGTGGCAACAAATGAAAATCCAAAATTCCGTGTGTCACAAAATTAGAATATTGTGTAAGGGTTACATTTTGAAGACACCTGGTGCCACAAAATAATCAGCTGATTAACTCAAAACACCTGCAAAGGGCTTTAAATGGTCTCTCAGTCCAGTTCTGAAGCCTACACAAACATGGGGAAGACTTCAGATTTGACAGCTGTCCAAAAGGCGACCATCGACACATTGCACAAGGAGGGAAAGACACAAAAGGTTATTGCAGAAGAGGCTGGCTGTTCTCAGAGCTCTGTGTCCAAACACATTAATAGAGAGGCAAAGGGAAGGAAAAACTGTGGTCAGAAAAAGTGTACAAGCGATAGGGATCACCGCGCCCTAGTCAAGATTGTGAAAAAAAACCCATTCAAAAATGTGGGGGAGATTCACAAGGAGTGGACAGCTGCTGGAGTCAGGGCTTCAAGATCCACCACCAAGAGACGCTTGAAAGACATGGGTTTCAACTGCCGCATACCTCGTGTCAAGCCACTGTTGACCAAGAAACAGCGCGAAAAGCGTCTCACCTGGGCTAAGGAAAAAAGAGCTGGACTGCTGCTGAGTGGTCTAAAGTCATGTTTTCTGACGAAAGCAAATTTTGCATTTCCTTTGGAAATCGAGGTCCCAGAGTCTGGAGGAAGACAGGAGAGGCACAGGATCCACGTTGCCTGAAGTCTAGTGTAAAGTTTCCACCATCAGTGATGGTTTGGGGTGCCATGTCATCTGCTGGTGTCGGTCCACTCTGTTTCCTGAGATCAAGGGTCAACGCAGCCGTCTACCAGCAAGTTTTAGAGCACTTCATGCTTCCTGCTGCTGACCTGCTCTATGGAGATGGAGATTTCAGGTTCCAACAGGACTTGGCGCCTGCACACAGCGCAAAATCTACCCGTGCCTGGTTTACGGACCATGGTATTTCTGTTCTAAATTGGCCAGCCAACTCCCCTGACCTTAGCCCCATAGAAAATCTGTGGGGTATTGTGAAAAGGAAGATGCAGAATGCCAGACCCAACAACGCAGAAGAGTTGAAGGCCACTATCAGAGCAACCTGGGCTCTCATAACACCTGAGCAGTGCCAGAAACTCATCGACTCCATGCCACGCCGCATTAATGCAGTAATTGAGGCAAAAGGAGCTCCAACCAAGTATTGAGTATTGTACATGCTCATATTTTTCATTTTCATACTTTTCAGTTGGCCAACATTTCTAAAAAATCCCTTTTTTGTATTAGCCTTAAGTAATATTCTAATTTTGTGACACACGGAATTTTGGATTTTCATTTGTTGCCACTTCAAATCATCAAAATTAAATGAAATAAACATTTGAATGCATCAGTCTGTGTGCAATGAATAAATATAATGTACAAGTTACACCTTTTGAATGCAATTACTGAAATAAATCAAGTTTTTCAAAATATTCTAATTTACTGACTTTTACCTGTATATAGCTTGTTTATGGATGGGCGTGTCCTGCCATAGTTTATATATATAGCTTGTTTCTGGATGGGCGTGTCCTGCCATAGTTGATATATATAGCTTGTTTCTGGATGGGCGTGTCCTGCCATAGTTTATACAGTGGGGGAAAAAAGTATTTAGTCAGCCACCAATTGTGCAAGTTCTCCCACTTAAAAAGATGAGAGAGGCCTGTAATTTTCATCATAGGTACACGTCAACTTTAACAGACAAAACGAGAAAAATAATCCAGAAAATCACATTGTAGGATTTTTTATGAATTTATTTGCAAATTATGGTGGAAAACAAGTATTTGGTCAATAACAAAAGTTTCTCAATACTTTGTTATATACCCTTATATACACAGGTCAAAAGGTTTTCACACACTGTTGCTGGTATTTTGGCCCATTCCTCCATGCAGATCTCCTCTAGAGCAGTGAGGTTTTGGGGCTGTCGCTGGGCAACACGGACTTTCAACTCCCTCCAAAGATTTTCTATGGGGTTGAGATCTGGAGACTGGCTAGGCCACTCCAGGACCTTGAAATGCTTCTTACGACGCCACTCCTTCGTTGCCCGGGCGGTGTGTTTGGGATCATTGTCATGCTGAAAGACCCAGCCACGTTTCATCTTCAATGCCCTTGCTGATGGAAGGAGGTTTTCACTCAAAATCTCACGATACATGGCCCCATTCATTCTTTCCTTTACACGGATCAGTCGTCCTGGTCCCTTTGCAGAAAAACAGCCCCAAAGCATGATGTTTCCACCCCTGTGCTTCACAGTAGGTATGGTGTTCTTTGGATGCAACTCAGCATTCTTTGTCCTCCAAACACGACGAGTTGAGTTTTTACCAAAAAGTTCTATTTTGGTTTCATCTGACCATATGACATTCTCCCAATCCTCTTCTGGATCATCCAAATGCACTCTAGCAAACTTCAGACGGGCCTGGACATGTACTGGCTTGAGCAGGGGGACACGTCTGGCACTGCAGGATTTGAGTCCCTGGCGGCGTAGTGTGTTACTGATGGTAGGCTTTGTTACTTTGGTCCCATCTCTCTGCAAGTCATTCACTGGGTCCCCCCGTGTGGTTCTGGGATTTTTGCTCACCGTTCTTGTGATCATTTTGACCCCACGGGGTGAGATCTTGCGTGGAGCCCCAGATCGAGGGAGATTATCAGTGGTCTTGTATGTCTTCCATTTCCTAATAATTGCTCCCACAGTTGATTTCTTCAAACCAAGCTGCTTACCTATTGCAGATTCAGTCTTCCTAGCCTGGTGCAGGTCTACAATTTTGTTTCTGGTGTCCTTTGACAGCTCTTTGGTCTTGGCCATAGTGGAGTTTGGAGTGTGACTGTTTGAGGTTGTGGACACGTGTCTTTTATACTGATAACAAGTTCAAACAGGTGCCATTAATACAGGTAACGAGTGGAGGACAGAGGAGCCTCTTAAAGAAGAAGTTACAGGTCTGTGAGGTGACCAAATACTTATTTTCCACCATAATTTGCAAATAAATTCATAAAAAATCCTACAATGTGATTTTCTGGATATTTTTTTGTCAATTTGTCTGTCATAGTTGACGTGTACCTATGATGAAAATTACAGGCCTCTCTCATCTTTTTAAGTGGGAGAACTTGCACAATTGGTGGCTGACTAAATACTTTTTTCCCCCACTGTATATATAGCTTGTTTCTGGATGGGCGTGTCCTGCCATAGTTGATATATATAGCATGTTTCTGGATGGGCGTGTCCTGCCATAGTTTATATATATAGCTTGTTTCTGGATGGGCGTGTCCTGCCATAGTTGATATATATAGCTTGTTTCTGGATGGGCGTGTCCTGCCATAGTTGATATATATAGCTTGTGTCTGGATGGGCGTGTCCTGCCATAGTTTATATATATAGTTTGTTTCTGGATGGCCGTGTCCTGCCATAGTTTATATATATAGCTTGTTTCTGGATGGGCGTGTCCTGCCATAGTTTATATATATAGCTTGTTTCTGGATGGGCGTGTCCTGCCATAGTTGATATATATAGCTTGTTTCTGGATGGGCGTGTCCTGCCATAGTTTATATATATAGCTTGTTTCTGGATGGGCGTGTCCTGCCATAGTTGATATATATAGCTTGTTTCTGGATGGGCGTGTCCAGCCATAGTTGTTTACATGGTTCATCACAACGTACCATCCTTTCACTGATGACACAATACAAATTGATGTGAATGATAACTGTCCTGTTTATATCATGTTAGTTTATTTAGTATGTGTTTTATCTACCCAGAGTTGGGAAATAAAGCCATTAATTGACAGGAGTCTTTAGATCAGGGGTGTCAAACATTCGGCCCATGAAGGTGTTCCAATCCAGACCGCGGGTGGTCCAATCCAGACCGCGGGTGTTCCAATCCAGACCGCGGGTGGTCCAATCCAGACCATGGGTGGTCCAATCCAGACCGCGGGTGTTCCAATCCAGACCGCGGGTGGTTTGAGTAGTGGGGGGGAACAAACTCAATATACACTACATGACCAAAAGTATCTCATTCCAAAATCATGGGCATTAATTATGGAGTTGGTCCCACTTTGCTGCTATAACAGCCTCCACTCTTCTGGGAAGGCTTTCCACTAGATGTTGGAACATTGCAGTGGGGACTTGCTTCCATTCAGCCACAAGAACATTAGTGACGTCGGGCACTGATGTTGGGCGATTAGGCCTGGCTCGCAGTCGGCGTTCCAATTCATCCCAAAGCTGTTCGATGGGGTTGAGGACAGGGCTTTGTGCAGGCCAGTCAAGTTCTTCCACACCGATCTCAACAAACCATTTCTTTATGGACCTCGCTTTATATACATAGATATCTCTAAACATGTCCCACTAGGACCGTCAGCTATATACACAGATATCTCTAAACATGTCCCACTAGCACCGTCAGCTATATACACACAGATATCTCTAAACATGTCCCACTAGGACCGTCAGCTATATACACACAGATATCTCTAAACATGTCCCACTAGGACCGTCAGCTATATATACACAGATATCTCTAAACATGTCCCACTAGGACCGTCAGCTATATACACACAGATATCTCTAAACATGTCCCACTAGGACCGTCAGCTATATACACACAGATATCTCTAAACATGTCCCACTAGCACCGTCAGCTATATACACACAGATATCTCTAAACATGTCCCACTAGGACTGTCAGCTATATACACATAAATCTCTTAACCAGAGCCCTCTGCACTATGCCATTTGGACGCACCCATAATTAATCTCCCCCACAGACTGAGCTCTCTCTCTTTCCCAGCCATGCAGGCAGCACCTGGGCTGGGTAGATAAGGCAGCCGTCTATGGCTGCATCCCAAATGGCACTGTATTCCCTATGGAAGAAACTACTTTAGAGAGAGAGAGAGAGACAGAGACAAATAGAGAGACACACAGACAGAGACAGATAGAGAGACACACAGACAGAGAGAGACAGAGACGAGACAGAGACAGAGAGAGACAGAGACAGAGACAGAGACAGAGACAGAGACAGAGACCAGAGAGAGAGAGAGAGAGAGAGAGAGAGAGAGAGAGAGAGAGAGAGAGAGAGAGAGAGTGGAAAGAGGGAGAGAGAGAGAGAGAGTGGAAAGAGGGAGAGAGAGAGAGAGAGCGAGAGAAAGAGAGAGAAAGAGAGAGCGAGAGAAAGAGAGAGCGAGAGAGAGCGAGAGCGAGAGAGAGAGAGAGAGGGATGGTTTGTTAGTGAAGGTGGAGAGAGAGAGAGAGGGGGAGGGAGAGAGACAGAGACAGAGACAGAGAGAGAGACAGAGAGACAGAGAGAGAGAGAGAGAGGAGAGAGAGAGAGAGAGTTAGTGTAGGGATGGTTTGTTAGTGAAGGTGTCACACCCTGGCTCTGGGGACTCTATGTTGAGCCAGGGTGTGTAGATTCTATGTGTTCTAGTTCTGTGTTGTAGTTCTATGTGTTATATTTCTATGTTGGCCAGATTGGTTCCCAATCAGAGGCAACGAGTGTCAGCTGTTGCTGGTTGTCTCTGATTGGGAACCATATTTAAACAGTCTGTTTTCCCTTAGTGTTGGTGGGATCTTGTTTCCGTTTGGTTTGTTTCCGTGTTGGTTGTGTTAACCGTAGGACTGCACGTATCGTTTGTTGTTTATATTATCACTCAAGATAATAAAGTTCAAGTATGTTTGCAACTAACGCTGCGCATTGGTCTACTCCGTCTAACGATCGTGACAGAAGGTGGAGAGAGAGGGATGGTTTGTTAGTGAAGGTGGAGAGAGAGAGAGAGAGAGGGGGGAGGGAGAGAGAGAGACAGAGAGAGAGAGAGAGAGACAGAGACACAGACACAGACAGAGACAGAGAGAGAGAGAGAGAGAGAGAGAGAGAGCGAATGCATGACTGTATTATTTACCAGGCCCAGGTACTGTACCATAGTGCACTATGTAGGGAATAGTGTGCCATTTGGCATGAATGAGAAATACAGCTCCACCCTCCATGCCTCCCTTCCGCCAGCCCACCGCAAAAATTATCCAAGCCAGCACAGAATGTTTCTGGTTGGCCCTACAGTGTGAATCAGGCACCAGATGTCTCCTATTGGCTGATCTCTACCTGCTTGTTGTCCCAGACTCTTCCTATTGGCTGATCTCTACCTGCTTGTTGTCCCAGACTCTTCCTATTGGCTGAGCTCTACCTGCTTGTTGCCCCAGACTCTTCCTATTGGCTGAGCTCTACCTGCTTGTTGCCCCAGACTCTTCCTATTGGCTGAGCTCTACCTGCTTATTCCCATAGGCCAGTATGGCTCCCGTCAGGTCCCGCAGAGTGTTCAGCTGGAGCTCCACTTCCTGTCTGGAATGGTGGGAGGCCCACCTCTTCCTGTTGTCCTCTGACCCTGAGGGGCATGATGACAGGACCGATGACGTCATGGCCATTTCCTCGTAGTACAGGAAGAGAGGTCCCCGTCTGGTGCTGTAGGTTTTAGGAAGCGCTGGCTCTACCCCGCCCAGCAGACGACCACTCTTAGATAGGCGGAGCAGGGAGGGCTGAGACTTCCAGAGATAGTAGTCCTAGGTAGAAATAAACAATTAGTATTGTCAATTTTTATTTATTTAACTAGGCAAGTCAGTTAAGAACAAATTCTTATTTACAATGACGTCCTACACCGGCCAAACCCGGACCAATTGTGCGCCGCCCTATGGGACTCCCAATCACGGCCGGTTGTGATACAGCCTGGAATCGAACCAGGGGGTCTGTAGTGACGCCGCAAGCACTGAGATGCAGTGCCTTAGACCGCTGCGCCACTCAGGGGCTATTGAATCATAACTACCACATTTCCCAAATTAATTGTTATTTGAGTCTTAAATAAATAAATCAAAACACTTTTCAAGGGTAAACCACTGTACTTAAAGCCTGCAAGAAGATATAATTGCTTTATATAACGTGCTATTATGCTTTCCAACTGAATCAAGTGTAAAAAGAACCTGAAATTACCTCAGGTTCGAAAGCAGACTCCAGGCGTCCATCTGACTGCCAGATGGGACTGGGAAACATGTCCACAGGCCTGACTCAGTAGCGATTTTTAGAGCAATATCACTTCAGTGGACTAAATCATGCTGATTCTTAAAATACGAAGGAATAAACAGTTAGATACGTCTCTCAGACAAGTCCTTGTCCAGTACTGTCCTCTCAGCAAGTCCTGGTACCATGATACTGTCCTCTCAGACAAGTCCTGCTCCAGATACGTCCTCTCAGACAAGTCACTGGTTCCCAGATTACTGTCCTCTCAGACAAGTCCATCTCCGATAATGTCCTCCTCAGACAAAGTCTCGGTACAGATGACTGTCCTACTCAGGGACAAGTGACTGGTCCAGATACTGCCTCTCAGACAAGTCCTGGTCCAGATCCTGTCCTACAGACAAGTCCTGCTCACGATTATGTCTTCTAAGACAAGTCCTGGCCAGATACTGTCTATCAGACAAGTCTTGGTCCAGATAATGTACTCTTCAGACAAGTCCTGGGCCAGATACTGTCCTCTCAGACCAAGGTCCTGCGTCCAGATACTGTCCTCTCAAGACAAAGGCCTGCTCCTCGTTAGAAGAAAGATACGCAGGAAAAGCAGTTTTTTTAATTCCCCTGTTCTATAAACAAACAAAAAAGTATATAATTTTTACTAAAAATAACACTAAAATCACACATTTCAAGGCATAAAACTTAAAAGGAATAGGCCTTCTACATTTGACTTTGTCCCATTCAGCTGGTGGCAGTAACATAGAACGACTGAATTTGTTAACTAGTGAGTGTGAGCAGTCAAAAGCAAATAGCCTGTATGTACTGATGCTGGGTTTTGCTGGTTGGCTGATTGCTAAGTGTTGCTAAGTTTCTCCCGAGTTTCTCTCTGGACAGGCACGGCTCAACCACTGTGTTTCGGTTGCCGTGGTTGAAAAGAGAGGTAAAGAAAAAAAGCACGTGATAGGAGACAAGAAAGAAAGAAGAAAAAACAAAGTAAAAAGAAACGTATTACAAATTCTGGTTTTTGGTGTCTAACAGACCTTCCCTCCTATCCTCGTACCTAACCACCCCCTCCCCTTCCGGTCCAACAGCCCTACCCATAACACCCCCATCTTCGTCTGTCCAACAGCCCATACCCTAACCACCCCTCCAGTGAAGGTTAAAGAACCCCATACTCACCCTCCCAACGCCCGACACCTCCCCACCCCCTCCGCTCCACTTATAACAACCCCAACCTTGACCCTTCTACACACCACCTACCTCCTATCTTACAACGAACACCATCTCTACATCCCACACCAATACCCCCCCCACTCTCTACTCTCCCCATCCTACCTTTACCCCCCATCCCCCCTATTCCCCCCCCTCCCACCACATTCATCTCCTCTCTCCCATTACCCCCCCCTACCAAACAAGCTCCCAACTTTTATTCCCCCCATTTCCCCCATTCTCACCATCCCTACATCTCCATCGACAACTCACCCCCTACCTACCCTCCCCCCCATGCGCCCCACACCTTTACCCCCCCCCCCTCCTCCCCCCCTACACCCTCCATATTATCCACCCGTTCCCACCTTGTGACACATATATATCTTATCAACCTCTCCCCCCCCTCAACTTCCCCCCACCCACCCTCTCCCCCCCAACCCCTACCCTTACCCCGAATACCCAACAACCCCCCCCCTTCCTCCCACCCCATAACCCCCAACCCCACCTCACCAGCACACACCGTCCCCCCTCTCCCCCCGCTAGACACCCCCACCCTCCTGCTCCCTAACCTCCGCCACATCCCACCACCTCCTACCCGACGCCATACCCCTCCTGATCCCTCCGCACAACTCTCAGCATCCCACCCCTAGATGACACCTTCCTCCTTCCCACGATCCTAACATTTCTCTTCCCCAGCAACCTCACTTCAACTTTATACAACATCCCATCACGCTCCATCCTCTTTCCCATCTCCCGCCTGCCCCCCCATCCGATTACTTACCTCACTTCCACGTCCCCTTTAGCTCCACTCCATCAGTTCGTTCTGCCCCCGCCCTTTTTACCTCCCACCCCTTGTATAACCCCCACTTCTCAGCCTCTCCTTCCCCCATTACTCTCTCTTCCCTAAACCCTAACCCCCCCTACCTTCCTTGTCTATAACAGCCCTAACCACGAACCCCCCCCCCCCCCTAAAAGAAAAAATATAAACCTACCCCACCCATAACTCGAAACATCAATCACTACGTCACAATAAAAACCAAAACTAACAAACAAACCCAAAACACAACTCAAACAAAACCCGAAACAATAACAAAGAAAAAAAAACAAAAAACAACCGATATAACATCATAAATATAACACTTGAATTCAGCAAAAACACAAAAAAATCCTAAGCACACCAAGCTAAGAAAACGCAAAAAAAGTATATACATACATACACCCACAACACACAAAAAAAAAAAAAAACATTATAAACTATCAACATACGCCTTCACCACAAATTAAAAAAACATAAAAACAAAAAAAAAAACTCTAAAATCACAAACCACAATAATACACAACATAAACAAAAAAAAACTAAAACAAAAAATCCCAAAAAATAAAAACCAAAAACAAAATAAAAAAGAAAACCTTAAAAACCCCCAAAAAACATAAAAACAAATAACAAAAAAAAAAAACACATACAAACACAAAAACCCATCAACAAACACAATTCCTCCCAAATAAATTAAAAAACAAATACACAAAATACTCAATACAAACATAACAACCAAAAAACAAAATACCAAAAACAAAACAAACAACAAAAAAAAAACAAAAAAAAATAAAAAAAAAAAAAAACACCACGAAAACAAAACACCCAAGTAAAAAAATCCCAAAACAAAAACAAACAACACAAAAAAAAAAAACAAAATACTTAAATAAACAAAACAAAAAAAAAACAAAAAAAAAACAAAGCCCCCCCCCAAACCAACACAACAATCAACCCACAAACTCCACCCCCACCCCCCCCCCCCCCCCCCCCCCCCCCCCCCCCTCTGCCCTTCCTGTCTGTCCAACAGCATAACCCTAACCACCCCTCCCTTCCGTCTAACAGCCCTAACCCTAACCCACCCCCTCCCTTCCTGTCTAAACAGCACTAACCCTACCCCCCCCCACCCCCTCCCTTCCTGGTCTCTGAACCGCCCCTAAACCTAACCCACCCCCCTCCCTTCCTGTTCTCTAACAGCCCTAACCTAACACACCCCCTCCATTCCTGTTTCTAACAGCCCTAACCTAACCCCCCCCTCCCTGCCTGTCTAACAGCCCAACCCTAATCCCAACAAAACCCCCCCCTGCCCTTCCTGTCTGTCCAAAAGCCCTCACCCTAAACCCCCCCCTCCACTTCCTGTCTGTCTAACAGCCATAACCCTAACCCCCCTCCCTTCTGTCCAACAGCCATAACCTAACCACCCCCTTCCCTTCTGTCTGTTCCAACAGCAGAACCCTTAAACCAACCCCTCCCTTCCTGTCTTGTCCAACAGCCCTAACCAACCCCCCTCCCATTCACCTGTCCAACGCCATAACCTAATCCCCCCCCTTCCCTTCCTGTCGTCAACAGCCCTAACCCTAACACCCCCTCCCGTCCTGTCCAAACAGCCCTAACCCTAACCCCCCATCCCTTACGTATCTGTCCAACAGCCCTAACCCTAACCACCCCCTCCCTTCCTGTCTCTCTAACAGCCCTAACCCTAACCCCCCCCTCCCTTCCTGTCTAACAGCCCTAACCCTAACCCACCCCCTCCCTTCGTCCACAGCACTTAAAAAAAACCATAAACACCCCCCCTCCCTCCTTCTGTCCACAGCACTAACCCTAACACCCCCCTCCCTCCTGTCTAACAGCCCTAACCCTAACCCCCCCCTCCCTTCCTCTTCAACAGCCCTAACCCACCCCCCCCTCCCTTCCTTCCAACCCTAACCAAACCCCCCCCCCCCCTCCCTTTCCCCCCCCCTAACCCAACCACCCCCTCCCTTCCTGTCCAACCCCCCTAACCCAAACCCCCCCCCCCTCCCTCCCCCCACCCTAACCCACCCCCCCTCACCCCCTTTTCCACACCCCTAACCCACCCCCCCCTCCCTTCCTCTTCCAACCCCAACCCCAACCCCCCCCCCTTCCGTCCAACAGCCCACCAACCTCCCCCCCCCCCCCCTTCCTGTCCCCCCTCCCTTACCCAACCCCCCCCCCCCTCTCCTCCCACCCTAACCCCCCCCCCCTTCCTCTCCCCCCACCCTAACCCACCCCCCCCCTCCCTTTCCTTCCAAACCCTACCCACCCCCCCCTCCTTCCGCCAACCCCCTAACCCCCCCCCCCCCCCCCTTCCTGTCCAAATCCCTAACCCTACCCCCACCCCTTCCCCCTCCCAACCCCCCCCTTCCACCCCCCTCCCCCACCCTTTCCCCCCAACAGCCCATCAAACCCCCTCCCTTTCAACACCCAACCCCCCCTCCTCTAAACCCCCACCCTACCCCCCCCTCCCTTCCTGTCACCCAACCCTTAACCCCCCCCTCCCTTCCCTTTTCCCCTTTCCAACCCCCCCCCCTTCCCAAAACCCCCCTCCCTTTTTCTCGCCAAACAGCCAACCCCAACCCCCCCCTCCTCTTCGTCCAACCCTAACCCTCCCCCCCCCTCCTTCCCTCCACAGCCCTCCCACCCCCCCCCCTTCCCTTCCAACACCCCTTAACCCCCCCCCCCCCCCCTGTCCAACACCCAAAACCCTAACCCCCCCCTCCCTCCCACACCCCCCAACCCAACCCCCCCCCCCCCGCCCAACCCCAACCCCCCCCCGGCCAACCCCTCCCCCACCCCCCTCCCTTCCTGTTTCCAACAGCCCTAACCCTAACCCCCCCCCTCCCCTTCTTCCAAACCCCCCAACCCTAACCCCCCCCCCTCTTCTGTCAAACAGCCCCCCCCTACCCCCCCCCCTCCCTTCCCTTTCCACCCCACCCTTCCCCCCCCCCCCTTCCCAACAGCCCCACCCCCCCCCCTTCCATCCGTCCCAGCCCCCTCCCACCCCCCCCCCCTCCTCCTTCCAACCCCACCCTAACCCCCCCCCCCCCTCCTTCTGTCCACCCCTATACCCTAACCACCCCCCCCTTCCTCAAGCCCTAACCCAAACCCCCCCCCCCCCTTCCTGTAAACACCCCTTTAACCCTAAAAACCCTCCCTTTCCTCCCCCAAAACCCCTTAACCCCTAACCCCCCCGGGCTCCCCCCCTTTTGAAAAAACCAAACCCCAACCCTTCCCCCCAACAGCCCTAACCCACCCCCCCCCCTCCCTTCCTGAAACAGTAACACAACAAAGGAGAGACACAAACAAAGTGTTGAGGTGCGTCTGAAACTGGCACCCTATTCCCTATATAGTGCAACTGCTTGGAGCTCTGGTCATAAGTAGTGCACTGTATAGAGAAAAGGGTGCCATTTTGGATCTAGTTTCACTACAGGCAGATTATGCTGTACCCTCAACATTGGGGCCCCACAGGGGTGTGTGCTCCAGTCCCATCCTGTACGCCCTGTTTCACCCTACGACTGCGGCCAAGCAACGACTCCAACACCATGATCAAGTTTGTTGACAACACGACGGTGCAGTGGAGAGGGTCGAGAGCTTCAAGTTCCTCAGTGTCCAAATCACCAAGGACTTAAAATGGTCCACACACATGCACACAGTCATGAAGAAGGCGAGAGACAGCGCCTCTTCCCACCTTCAAATCCTCAAAAAGGTCTACAGCTGCACCATTGAGAGCATCTTGACTGTCTGCATCACCGCCTGGTATGGCAACAGCACCGCCCTGGATCGCATGGCGCTACAGGGGGTGGTGTGTAAGTTGTGATAATATAATAATAACAAAGATTATAAGCAATAGAATGGCAAAAGTCTTACCAGACTTGATACGTATCAATCAGACAGGGTTGATTAAAAATAGACATTTACAAACAAATAGAATAACATGTTTCCGTTTAATACAATCTGCTACAAAACAAGATTTATCAATAATGGCTTTTGATGCCGAAATGCCTTTTGACTGTCTTTAATGGCCTTTTCTATTCAAAACTATATAAACTAAACTTCTTTGCAGATGATCTCCTGATATACCTGACCAATATTGAAAACTAAATGCTAAAAAATATTTTCAGAATACTAACAAATCTCAGGATATAAAATTAACATGGAAATGTGAAAAAATGGTAATAATAAAAAAAAAAAAATTAACTCTTTCTAAGATCTACAGAAAACCTTTAAGTGGAAATATTAAATAATTAGGAGGCTTAATAAGTGACAACAACAAACAACAACAAACAACAAATATATTAAGATAACTTAATTCCATTATTCAACAAAATATGAAAGCAGATCTAATTAAATTGAATAATCTTCCCATAAGTGTTACAGGTAGAAAAACCTCTTTAGAATGGCATGGCTCCCAAAGATTTTAGATTTATTCTCGGTACTCCACCGAAGACATTTTTTTAAAAAAGTACACTCAGTCATAACAGACTTCATACCGGCAAATAAAACTCATAGAATAAAAAAGACTTTTTAGATCTTCCTACGTCTGAGGGTGCTTTTAACCTTCCAGATGTAGAATTGTATCAACTCACCACCCAGGGCTTTTACTTGAGACATATAGTTAAAATGCACCAAAGAGGAAACAATGGATATACACTACCAGTCAAAAGTTTGGACACACCTACTCAATCCAGGGTTTTTCTTTATTTTTACTATTTTCTACATTGTAGAATAATAGTGAAGACATCAAAACTATGAAATAACACATATGGAATCATGTAGTAACCAAAAAAAGTGTTAAACAAACCAAAATATATTTTATATTTTAGATTCTTCAAAGTAGCCACACTTTGTCTTGATGACAGCTTTGCACACTCTTGGCATACAGTGGGGAGAAAAAGTATTTAGTCAGCCA